GCTTCTGAAGTCAGTTCCAAAACGCCGTCCATAAGCAGCGGTGATGTGCATGGACGCGTCGTGCAAAAATTTGACGTTGAGGTGCAGGTCGCCGTAGACCTAGACACAGCAAAGTCTCAAACAGCTAGCTCTAATGTTTAACAGCTGTCGCAAGATCCCGTAGCTTTCTAATGTGGACCCGCTTGCCGATATTTTGCCGAGAGGCTGCGGATCATCTCACGTGATGTCCGCACTGTAGGCAAAAGCCAATTCAACATGAAGGATGAGAACAAAGCAGTCCATTCAGGTAGGGCTACGGAGTATACTGTCAATCGAGAACTCTGGTGCCAGCAGTGTTCATTTGATTCTAAAGTGTGAATGTTAGTGGTTGTACGGAGTAGATTCCAAGATACGTACATATGGAACACTCCGCATTTTTCCTGTCCTGCTTCGTACGTTGACCCAGTACTCCGTACCTAATGATAAACCAATACCTGTAGTCAAGTACGGAGAAGTACTATGTACTAGCACTGAGTACATGCATGCAGTAGAATGGGCCACCAAATGTCCGGTGCAACAATTTCCAGCCCCAGCAAGTGGACCTCCCCAATCTCTGCAGATCATGGTTGGTTCCCAGCTACTAACGCTCAGGGCCAAGCATTTTCTTGGCAAACGCCTAGCGTGCTTGTTTCTGTGAGAGGTAAAACGTAACAATCTGAACAGGTCAGGTAGCCGTCACGCTCTACTTTATTATACACTATAATATAAAAAGAGGTAAAGAAGTTCTTGACTATCACGCTTTAAAAATATCTCATGGTACCGGATGTTATTATATTCGCGGCGTTGATCGACAAAAATCTACCGCAGATCATAGACTATCTCTAGAATTGTGATCCACTTCTCAGTTGATGGGCGGTCAAGCCAAAATGGTGTCGTCACTGCAATCCGTCACAATCTGGGAGACACATATTTTTTTTGGACAAAGTTGATTCTCGATTTCAAATAACAGATTCTGTAACCTGCATGGTAGAACACGTTCGTTACTAGGACGATGGATGCTCGTAGCAATGCTGCAGCAAGATGCTGTCAGAAGCACAGGGTAGAAGTACATAACAAACGCCATGCAAAGAACGTCCTCACGACGTTCTGTATCGCCATTTTGTGAGGCCTCGGTGAATGCCACTACATCGCTTTTTAACCCAAGAAGCCCATAACCTTTGTTTCCACTACCCATAAACGCCGTGATTGCAAACAATTTCCAAAGCAAGAAAGATATTATAGCAGGCAGCGCCAATGCAAGAAGTCGGGTATTAGCAATAATGATCAGGTAGAAAAACCTTGCTGAAGCGATCATTCGGCCGCTCACTCCATGCAGGGAGAGCTCCTGCGTCGGCGACCTGAGCGAAGTTCCTTCTCCGTCTCCATTAATCTGACTTGCGCCCACATGCGCATCGAGTTGTTGCCGCGCACTGCGTCACAGTTGAGGAGTTCTGTCAGGGCGCGTTTAATGCTCTCGTTGACGTCAAACAGGCGCTGCTCTTCAGCAGAGATGGCATGTATGGTTTCTTCGTCTAGAATTGTGCCCAGCGATCCGGGGCCAGCAGCGTCTCGGCCGCAGCGGGCCCGAGTGCGACCAAATTTACATTCACCGCTCCCCGAGTATCGCCTTGGTGATGTCGATATCGACGAAGTGCTGGATGATCGAGTTGAGACGCTCGTGACTGACGCCTTGCGCGGCCGAATCTGTTCGAGGTGGCTGGAGAGTTCCTCATGCTGCTCCTGCAGAAGCATGTACTTTTGCAGAGCAAAGTTGTAGGTTTGTGTCTTGCTCGAGGTCATTTTGGCTGTGTCTGGAGAGGAAGCGTGGGGGTCGGTATGGGTGCTTCCCTTGGCTTGAAGGAGCGCAGCGGGAGTCAAGAGATTTGTTTGAGTCAGAAACGGAGCTCTTTATAACAAGCCCATTGAAGGTGAATGAATGATCGGTCTTGGGCAACAGGCGGCAGGCGGTATACCATGAGCGGGGGGTTCGTTGCGACGATGCAGCACTGGATGGACGCAGCTGCAGAAGGAGCCCACTCTGTTCAGCCCGCGGATCTGTGTATCCACTAGTGCAGCAGGAAACGTGGTTGATGGCCTTTGCTGGTAGTATGGAGTAGGCTGATATCAAATGGTATTTCTGTCAATCCACCGCCGCTTTTGCTTTTTGACGGAGGAAAAGAAGAGGATGATGACGGGAGGGTGTCTGGTGAGCAGGTGTAGCTGTCACCGTCTGCACGGAGACTTGCTGGGGGCGATTAGCCAGGGGGTGGGGATGGTCCGTGTTGGAAATGAGGCGTGCTGTGAATAAAACCACACATATGAATAGGGGGTGACGATCGGGTCAATTCTTCAATTCTGTCAAGGTCAGGGTATGTTTTCAGCTTTGAGAATCTAGAAGCAGAATGTGCAATATTGACAATGGGAAAATGTAGAGGATGGAAGGAGCAGGGGGGAGGAATGCTTGAAAAAGGATGCACGGGAGGCGGGAGATGACCGGAGCTCGAGTGGGCACCTGGGCACAGCGTCTTCAGCTCGTGCTCTGACTTGTACAGTCTATGGGCAGAACATTGAATATTTGAACACCAAGACGTATACACGAATAACTACTGATACTAGTGTATACTTTTCCATCAGCAAATACATCCTGCCTCATCCTCTCTTCTCCCTGCCGCAATGAACAGCCTGGCCAATGGCGTTGATGGCGGTGGCGACACTTGGCACTTTCTTTCCACGACACGGCGGTAACGAGAGAAGCCCGGAACGGAGCTGAAGGCTCGTGAGCTGGATGGCGCTACCGCATGTTGGTATAGCGCAGGCGGTTGGGCCTTTCAGCCAGAGACGCAGAGATATCGAGATGCAGAGTACATATGTACGGAGTAATCCGACCAGATGGCGAGCAATGGAGAGACCCAGATCGGGGGCGTAGGCGGTCCTCACAACACACCATCAGACGCGAGCTGCCACAAGCTGCCACTTGGGAAAGCGAAGGCCAGTCACTGTCACTGTCACTGTCACCCGGAGCTGGGGCCGGCCATTGGGCAACACGGTGATTGCGCGCTAGGCGGCACGAACTGAGGTGACGAGGTGGTGAGGTGGTGAGGTGGTGGCACCGGTTGACTGGTTGACTGGTCCGTGGTGTCGTGATTTGGGTGGTATGCTTGTGGCGCCCGACTGGAACGAGACTGGTCCAGAATCAGGCCAGGGATTGTTTGGAGGGTGGAATACATACAAACTGCCCTGCCTGGGGACGTGACACCTAGGATGGACAAGCAGGACAGACCGGCTGCAGGTTCTTTTGGCTGAAGCGACGAGAAGAGGTAGGCCCGTTGGGGGACAAATCTGCAAGTGAGGTTCAGGTGACGGTGGTGGGAGTCTCGATATGTATTTGTACGCGCTCAGTGGAGGCAACGAAGAGACTCGGAACAAACATGGGTGTACTACAAGTCTACAACATTTGCATCGCAGTACGGAGTACGGAGTAGCGGTTCTTGATACGTTGACGTGTTGAGCGGCTCATCATGTTTCGCAGGGAACACGAGTAGCCACATTCCGTAGTGAGAGTACGGAGTACCAGACATAAGGCGCCGATTTCATCGAGACGTGGACAGCGTTTTGCAGCTGCTTCTAGAAGTTTGTTCATGGTATTTCGCTGGCCATTGGCTCTCCGAGCCTGTCTCCCGCTGCCACAGACCATGCTGTGTCTGGCACATAGCTGGGCACGATATGCTGTGATGCTAGTCCACAATATTGTAACGTCTTGTCCAGGTACGGAGTACGGTGGGCCCCAACGACGGCTTGATGCCGCCACGGAAATAGCGCAGTGTCATGGCATTGATGCTTAAAGAGGCGGAGCAACCGCACATGGGCAATCAAATCAACCCTGGCACGAAACATGCCGGGGAAATTATGCAATTCTGAAATCATGGCAGGCACGGGCCACGGAAAACGGCCACAAACGAAGCTTTGTTGCAATATTTGTGATTTGTGTGCAATACCAGACAACACGGCGCTGCAACAAGCAAACAAGACAATGCCGCCATCGATGAACTGACTGGTCTGCGATCCAACCAACCCAACAGTACGTACAACCCATGCTGCCCATGTCGAGTACTGCGCCAGAGTATGATGCCACCAGCCTACCTCGTACGGAGTACATGGTAAAGATGTCCCACCCATTGTTGTGCCAGGCTTTCTTCTTCTCTGGGTGCAGCCGACGGCCCCATGGACCGACAGGATCGTCCAGCTCGCCTACTCTGTAGCTAGCTGCTATTACCACTCGTCGAGAGTCAGACGTGCTATGGCCCCTGCCAACTTTCAAACTTGCAGGAAACAAGACATCGATATGCTGACCCGCTGGAAACGCGTGTCGCCGGGGTTCCAAATGATGGGGTACGCTCATCCACGTTTCGTTCGCCAACCAGAACACGGAGGAGCCTCGTTACCCATCATGAATGAGGCCGCGAGAGCCTCTTTGATGAACAATTGAATACAGTATGGCTCTGAAAAGTAGCTACCTTGTGGGGTCGTTTGCCCACGACCGGAACAATGCCTGGCCTCTCCGTGGCGTCATCTCACCAACTACTTAAGTACCTAGGGAGGTACATAGTTACTGTGATAAATAACTCTGTCCGTACCTGCACCTGGTGCAAGACAATTTCCCAGTCCATGACTTCACATACATACGGTTTCGCCTCCCCACAGACCGATGCGCGCCGCTACCGTCATGAGACAAGCCCCCGTCCCACACGGCGGATGGCGTCAACAGTAGGGACCGCCGGTAATTGGGAGAGGGTGACGGCCTCCACAGCAAGTGACGGCAGTAATAATGACCCTCGCTAAAACGAATTTCAACGTCCCAACTTCCTTGCTTCCATATCCTGGCTGACACTTCCGCAGAAACTGTGGCCAAGGAAAGTCCCGGGCTTCGGGCTGATCCTCCCACTATTATGCCATGACATGATCATCATCTTCCCACCGTCCCATCAAATTCTAGCCACCCTGCACAAGTGTATCGCCAGTTGGTCATCGAAAAACGGGCCATTCTGCTGCGATCGAGGAGGCAAATCAACGTGCAGATCCTCCACAGCCAGGTCTCGCTGTCTGCACACCTTCAGAAACGCCTGGTATGTCTCTGCGTTTCGTTCGGTTGCCGATATGTATACTTGAACACTTGGATACATCCCAAAGAGGTCGAAAAGCGTCGCGACCAAGGCCGGCATAACTCGATCATCATACGTGATATCAGCACCCAGCACGACATCGACTGGCTGGCCGCCATTCCATTTCTCATCCTCCGTGCCAACCAATGCGTGTCCCCATTTGATATCCATCAGGGTGATTTTCGACGAGTCCTGGAGGCTGTTGAGGAACAAATTATCCGGCAGGTTGTTAATGACGTCGTCGGATCCATCCGAAGCAATGGCGTGTGCTGCTTGCAAATGCTTCACGCAGAGTATAGACGGGTATCCGGTACCAGCACCCAATTCCAGCACGCGTTTTCCTGCGACAAGTGACGGATTTTGGCACAGGTATTGTCCCAATTGCAATGCCGCCTCCCAGGTCCTGTGGCCCGTAGTACCGCCCGCGGCAATTAGGTTTCGATTTTCGAGGAGTGTGATGCTCGGATGTGGAGCGGCCGTCTTTGACTGCGTCTCACGCCCAAGCAAGGACAGGTGATATGTTACATAGCACTTCTTTTGCGCTGATACAGCATCTGGTGGCATGGGAGTGGCCAGAAGTGCCGATAGTGTGTTCATGATATCATCTGATACCGCCTTTGACCCTTTGGTCAGAACGACCATGATTATGGCTTGAGAATGGATGTAAAACTACGAGGAGAAAACTTACATATCTATCCCAATCGTCTATGGCAGACTCTATTCGGAACACAAGTTCCTTCAAAATTTTGATGCGATATCTGTCTGGGGGCCCGACACTACCCGTCTCATCACAAAAGATACGCTTGTAGATGTCATCCTGAACATCTTCCAAACGGAGAAACTTGTCTTGAGGATAGTCAAGAATGGACTCTAGCTGAAGGTATTGGTAACAGAACCGATCTACCTCTTGCCTCCATGGAGGATCCATGTTGGCCAGAGCACCAGTCCATTTGCAGATGCTCAATTCAAGTTACAACAGTTGACGGCTTGAAAGCTCGCGTGCTCCTGCCTCGTCATGCCACCCGCGCGGAGACAGTGTGGGGTTCAACATCCCAAAATGGCAATGTAATTTTCCGAAACTTGTCCGGCGCATCACGTGGTTTTTCCAGTGAAATTTTGTGCGACTAAGCAGAAGCCGGATTCCTCAGGCACACACATGCTTTTTGAACCCCCACAGCAACGCACGCACAAACTGTTAGGGTTGGACCCAGTTTAAGCGACACGGGCGGCCGACGGAATTTTCGCCCTGGGTCAGATTTCGCTGGCCCTCTCAACCCTCACGGATTTGAAGTCACCACGCCCAACGCCCAGTCTCTCCTCCGTCACCACCACAGAGACAACATCACAACACCGCAACCATGGCGGACAACGACAGCCCCGTTACTCTTCGAACTCGCAAGTTCATCCGTAACCCTCTGCTGGGTCGCAAGCAGATGGTCGTGTGAGTTTGAAAACCCCTCCTCTTCGATGGTGCCGCGCAATTTGAACGTCGACTTCACGGGGCTCGGCGTCACTATCTGCAAAATTTCTCAGGCGACAAATTCGACGACAAGACGAAAAAAAAAATATGGCCATTACCCGAGTCAACATGTTCAGCTCTCATAAGATCCTCGACGACTGAGAAGTGAACCAAATTTTTCAATTCACTTGGAGCATGCGCAGCGCGGACGGGCATACACATCATTCATCAACCCATCGGCTCGATGAGATTCCTACCAGACGAAGCCATCGCCCCGTGAAATACGAATAAGACCAAATTCTTGCGCGGCACGAGGAATGATGATTACGTGGGAAACAAACATGCAATGCTAATGCATCGAATAGTGACATCCTCCACCCCAACCGCGCCAACATCGCCAAGGAGGAGCTCCGCGAGAAGCTCAGCGGCATGTACAAGGTGCAGAAGGACCAGGTCCAGGTTTTTGGCCTGCGAACCCAGTTCGGTGGCGGCAAGACCACCGGCTTCGCCCTCATCTACGACTCCCCCGAGGCCCTGAAGAAGTTTGAGCCCACCTACCGCCTTGTCCGCGTCGGCATGGCCACCAAGCCCGAGCGTGCCAGCAGACAGCAGCGTACGTCGCCCGCACCCCCCCGGCGTGCAAGTCGTCGCCCGGAACCCACGCAGACTCGAACATTTGTACGAGGCAAAAGGCGCAACAAGAGTGCTAACATACCCCCGCAGGCAAGCAGCGCAAGAACCGACAGAAGACGCTCCGTGGCACGGCAAAGGTCAAGGGTGCCAAGGCGAAGAAGGACAAATAAGCGTGACGTGCATCGTTGTAAAAACGGGGGCGATGGGCAAGGCTGTGTTGTGGCTGCGTTCGCGGATGTGTGGTATCAGCGTACCGCGGGGCGCTTGGATTTCTTGGGCATACGGGAAACTATGTTCACGAACCTCTGGGAACGCGTTCGGCTTTTTTGGGGGAACGGACGGGTGAGACCACGGCTTCCATGGTCTCCCTTGACTACACTAGCATGAAATCAACGGTGTTTCGGTTTCGGACCAAAAAATTACGATACATGTGGTTCACATAGTACGAGCATCCCGGTGGCTTGGGGCATATTTGTGAAGAGTGTGTGAATGTGTTTAGGCACTACCATGACCTACCATGTAGTGTTTCTGGACTGTAGCGGGTTAGCACCCGATGAGACTGCACGACGGTAGGTACCATGTGACCAAGGGAAATATGAAAAAAAAAAGAGCTATATTCAAACAGCGCGGCTTGCTGTCCAGCAGCGGGTATCACGATATCTGCGCAAGCACCACAACACCCATTTCATCCCACGGTCCCAACCCCCAATGGGCCCAAGTCCATACCCGCAACCAAATGTGTGTGTATACACCAGACCATGCAATCGTAAAAAAAACATTCATACCGCATGACCAGCAAAACAGCCCTACATCAAGCCCAGGGCAAACACGCCGGCCAAACACCCGACAACGACCCACACGGTGGCGGAATCCCCCCTCACGCCCTGGGCCTTGACAACGGGCACATGCCAGCCGCAGTGCTCGTTGCCGCCGACAGTATTGCAAGTATAGTACGTGACCTGGCGGTAGCCCTGGCTCGCCAGGACGGCGTCCTGGTCCGGCGCCGGCGTCACGACGGGCGTGTAGGCCGGTATTGGCGCGGGGCCAGGCGCGTCTCGACGGCCGGCGCGGCGAGCGTCCGGGTCGCCACGTCCCTCGGCGTCGAGGCCGTGTGGTTGGTGATTGCCGCCCGCCCTTGTGTCATGGTTACCGCCGAGCTCGCTCCGCCTTTTGAGAGGGTCGTAGGTACCGTCTTGTCGGGGGGCTCTCTTGTACCCCGTGCCCGTGGGATCCGGGGGGAGCACCGGCCCATGGCGTATCCTCTTGATGGACTCGTCGACGTCGGCGTCTCTCTCTGCGTGTGCGGGCAGCGACCACGAGAGGAGGAGGAGGGCGGCGAGCAGGATGGCGGGCCGCCGCCACGGCGATGTGTAGGGTAGGCGTGGGGACATGATCGGTCTGCTTATGCCCCGCTGGGGTGGGAGGTTGATCTGCTCGGGTTGCCCTTTGCTGACGGGAGTCTTTTTTTTTTTTTTCTCTTCTTCTAGGAATCTAGTGTTTTATAGTATGCTCTGATGCAGAGGCCGGTTCACTCGGAGAAAGGGCGTACATCGGTTCTCGGAGGTCGTATTTGGCCCGGGCTGTGTGCCGTGCGGCAGTGTGGTTGCCAAGACGAGATGTATCCCTCGCACCACCGTTCACATGTGTACGCGGATAAAAAATGATGGGTGAATGCTAGGGCGGTTGAGAAGCGAGTATGAAAAATACGGCATGTGGGAAAACCTCCCACGGCGGGAGGTCTTTGCCTTTTTACATGTTCGAGACTTCTCACGGCCGTCCGGGCTTGGGGGTTCACAAATGACTAACATTGAGGCACTGGTTTGACGTTGATTGGGGTCACATCCGATCACATGGCCCCCGTGGGACCTTCAAGTTGGGGACTTGGAACTTACACCACCCACCACCAACCACATCAGACGACCAAGTCCCCTTCTTCAAAGACCCCTCAACGCCAACTTTTCCAACATGTACCGAGCGCTCCGACACATCACCCCAGGCCCAGTGGTGTATTCCGCCATGACGGGCAATGCCACGCGCGCCCAACGCTGACACGGGTCATCGATTTGACTGGAGGCGATGCGCCGTCCATTTGTGCTGGTGGCACCTCGGGACACTCTGGCCATGGACCCTCGAGGCACCAACCAGCTCGACTGCACAGCGATCTGGCCTGACCGCCCAGACTTCAGACATGTGCTCCTTTTTACTCTCCACGAGTCGAGTCGCTAAAAGGACGTCTGGACTGCCCAGGAACCCGGCACCAGGCGCTCACGCGTCTTGCGGTGCAAGGACGAGCTCGTCCCGCCACAGCTGAAGATGCCAAGACTTCACGGCTCGTGCTTACCCAGTAGATTTGGCCGATCCCCCGCCTTTTGGCGCCGGTCACGATCGACTGTCCCTACCCAATCCAGCCGTTGTTTCAACCATCCGTTACTCACTACCCAACTCTGGCACGCCAAGACTGAGTCCTCCCGTTCAAGCGTGAACCACCAACCACTCGCGCTGTGTAGCCAGATGCTGAGAATAGACTGCTCGCGACTATTGTTAAACAAATCTCGTGGCTGACACGCCTCGTCTGCGATACGAATTTACAAATGATGCATGTACACTGTTTACCAACACCCGTAGCCCTATTATACACGTGGTATCTGGCAGGCCCCCAACGCCAAAATGTAATGTAATGCCCGAGCACTCCAACCCAAGGTGACCGTCAGTGACGGAAATCATTCATCCCGCGCTCCCTCCGTACGCGGCGACGTGGCCTGAAGAATCTTGGGCTCAATCATCTCGCCCCAGCCAATAGTCCGGTGTCCGTCATCCGCCTCTTCTTCGTCCTCTTCAAAATCAGGCACCTCAAACTTATCATATACCCGCTGGCCCTTCTCATCGAAAACCTTCTCCTTGTGCTCACGATCCCTCAACGCCAGTCGTACTTCCAGACTTGACTCGCTACTTCCGGAGAGGACCTCTCCGGTGACGGAAGCAATCACGGGCTGCCACTGTGTTGCTTTCGACATGATGCACTGCTTCCACGTAATCACCATCCCTTCCTTGGCACTGCCCTTCTCCAGCGTGGCAAGGCTGCCCATATCTTCGGGCAATGCGGGCAGATCTTCAACTTCCACATCACCGACGCCATCGCCATTGGTAGGAGCCTCTTCCACCCCATTCACATGGGTGCCAAACGGATCCCGACGCCTTGCGAACTGTTTCGTTTTTGAGTTGCTTTTTGTGTCGATTGCGTCTGCCTCCTCCCCAAACACGCCCGAGCCTTCTTCGGCATAAGAGTCGTCATAGTAAGCTTGAGATTCCCGCTTTCGTTTGCGCATGGATCCGTATTGTTGTTGAGGGTCCCATCGTTGAACAAAGGGGAATGGAGGCTCCGACAGCACCATGCCCTCGTGGCAACATTCCACCGCCCGATATGTAATCTTGGATTTCCATGCGTCAGGGTTGGCGTTGTCCTCGCTAGGTTGCTCCGTGTCTTCGCTATCGACAACTTGGACGATTCTGGGATTATGCAAAGCCTTGACATCCTTCATAAGCCCCTCCTTGATGCGCTCTTCGTCGGCTTTGGACTTGGGGTTCTTGAGCCCCAGCGCCCCAAATAGCATTCTTCTCCCCGCCCCCATGTCCACTCGAGCACGCCGTCCTGCCGAATCGTTACTGTCGGGTAACGTCTCGCTGCGAGGGTTTTCTGGTGTCTGTGTCGATTTGCCATTGGCCACGATCGGCTCACTTGTGGTCTCCAGGGAAGCATCCTCGGACAGGGCGCCCAACAAAGCCTCCTTCCGAGCCAGAAGCTCTGCGTCGTCAAATTCTGGCGTCCCGACCCCCTCTTGCCGACCCAAGAGTCTGGCCCGTTTCCGTCGAGCATTGCGTTTTTGTGTTCTTGAGAGGCCTTCGTGAGGCGCGGTTCCCTCACTTTTGACCAATGCCTTCTGAGGCCTCGGAGCCTCTGGTACAAGCTTAGACCCAGGCTGGGGTTCGGACTCGGATTCGTCTGAATCACTTGAACTATCATCGGATGAATCGTCACTATCGCTGTCCGAGCTCTCATTCGGAGAGTCACTGGTGTTCTCGTAGCTCGAATCGCCCTCGTCATGCTCGTCGTCGGCGGGATCAGAACTACCGTCGTAGCTTGACCCTGAAGTTGACGTATCCGAGCCATTGCTGTCTACTTCCTCAATAAGAGGCTTCGAAGCTGGTCGTGAATGATGAAAGAGAGAGGGCATTACGGGCTGCACGGGTGAGGATTCATGCTGCTCCAAGAGCCCTGTAACCATCCGATCCATCATATCGTCAAAGCTAAGGCTCGGGGCAGTCGACCGTCGTAGCGTATCATACGTCTTCCTCAAGTTTTGCTTTTGTCGAAAAAGCTCCTTTTCGATTGTCGAGAACGATAAAAGAGGGAATGCCATCCGAAGCACACCTAGTTGTTCCAAAGTGGGTTCGTTCGAAGCCGACTGGTTGTTACCACTGTCTTCGTCTTCGTCTAGAAGCCGAAGCTCCTCAACCAACGCCCCTGGCGAATAGTCGACGTCAACATCGTCTTCACCATCACCAGACACACTCTGCTCAGTGTCCTGATCAGGTTCAAATTCATCATCTTGGTCCTCCGAGTCATCAAGATCTCCACCCCCGTTGACCAAGATGGATTGCAGACGACCGTCGGGAGCTTCGTCAGGTCGAGGCGGCCCTTCTAGGAGCAACTGCTCTGGCTCCTGCTCCTGCTCAGCCATGTCCTGTTGTTCAATTCGCGCTCTTTTACGGGGAGGCAGCTCAAAAGCCGGCCGATCGCGAGGTGTTCGCAGCCACGGTCGCCCGAATGCCAGCCCATCGACAAGATGCTTGCCGTCTGTTGAAATCTGGTGCCGTCCGCTGAGCCGGCGTCTTCGGATGTCGTCTGTCAAAAGGGACCGGATTCTACATGTGTCATGTCAGCCAAGTCCGGAAATCGATGGTAGTTGAGCCCGAGAAACGCACACTACATGGTCCTCATCCTTCAAAATCTGCGAAACCAGCTGAAAATGCAGACACTCGTAGCTCCCTCCCTTGTCATCTAAAAGCTCGACCGCATAGTCCTCTAGCCCCCATTCGCTGCTCTCCAATGGCACCACCTCGTTGACATGGGTCAGCAGTTTGGCAATGGTCGTGTCTGAGGAGCAAGCACACGGCCAGACGAGCTTGATCTCCGGCACGCCGTGTCGCCGGATGGCGAGGCGCAGTCGGATATCTTGGGCTGACATGTTCTATCGCGGCATGGTTGCATGAAAGAGTCGAAAGAAGCTATTCGAGCGGCGAGCAAAGGCTGACGAGCAACCACAGCTGAGAGATGGAAATTCACAGTCCGTGTTGTCGAGCGGTTCGAAAGAAGTGAGCAAAACGTCAGGCACCAAGGAACTATTTGGGGTGGTCGAAAATTATTGTGGGCCCAGAAGGACGTCACAGTGTCACACCAGACTTCAGCTCAAGGTACTCCGTACATGTAGCTGGAGGCTGGGTGCGTGGGTAGACGGCAGACAAGACATGCGGTTGGAAATACATCCCACCAGAAATATCTCGTCTAGGAAAGACTCATTCAAGACTCATCCATAATTTTGGAGAATTGTCATGTAATTTACATGTTATGCAAATATTCGCTATCAGTGTTCAAACATGCCAGCCTCCGGCAACCCAACTCCGTAATGCGCGTAAAAAACCAGACTTCCATGCCCAAGATTGTTCTTTTGTCTCGTTCTACGTGGGCCGATCCCTGTCCAGCATGTGGCCCATCTTTTCAATCTACAAAGTCATCAGTCAACGATCCGCTAGCAACACGAGAGGACGTGAGAAGCACCCCGGCATTCAGAAAAAAACATACCTTTGTCTTGAGATAGCCCTCCACCTCCTGGCTCCTGAAGCCGCCCTTGCCCTTCCAGGACAGCGGCACCATGGCCACCCTCTCCTTGACCACAACCTCCCTGTTGGGGCCCTCGACGGCCCGAATCTTGTCAGGGTTGTTGGTCAGCAGACGCACGTCGTGCTGCCCCAAGTCCAGCAGCATGGCCGTGGCCAGGCCGTAGCTCCTCGCGTCGGCGGGGTGTCTCAGCAGCAGGTTCGCCTCGACCGTGTCGGACCCCAGATCCTGCAGGTTGTACGCCTTGAGCTTCTCGCCCAGCCCGATGCCCCGCCCCTCTTGGCGGAGGTAGATGATGATGCCGCCAGAGGCGTTGCCGGGCATGCCCATCAGCCGGGCCGCCTCGTCGAGCTGCTCGCCGCAGTCGCAGCGTGCCGACCAGGCAGTCTCGCCCGTGTAGCACTCGGAATGGATGCGCACCAGGGGCGGCTGCGAGCCCTGCCCGGGCGTGGCCGGCGTGGCGGGCGCTGCCTGGCCGGCGTCCATGCCGCTGGTTGTCCGGCCGGGGAACAGTCTGCCCGTGTAGGCGCCGCGGATCATCCTGTCCATCTCGGTCTCTCCCTCGCGGGGGGCGTCGAGGCTCTTGCTTCGGATGTGGTTGCCAAACACAATGGCCAGGTGCTCCTTGTTGTCGACGTTGTTGGTGTATAGGTGGAGGAACATTTCTGTGCCCGTGACGGTGGGGATGCGCGCGCGGACAATGCATTGCACCTCGGGAAGCGTCTGCAGCAGCCTTGGTCTTTTGTTGCCGCATCCGCCGTCGGGGATTGAGCTGTCTACCGGGACGCCGCGCGGTCCGGCTCTCGTGGGCGTTTGCGTTCCAGGAGTCTGCGGCGGGGTGAAGGCGGGGGACAGCAACGACGGCGGAGGCGGTTGCGATTGCGATTGCGGCGTGGTGGCGGCATCTTGGGAACCCTGTTGTGAGAGCGAGAGTTCGTCTACATCTTGGTGAGCGTCTTGATGGTGGCCGCTGGACGCAGCTGCATCGACGGGCGTTGAGCGCGGTGAGTAAAACGACGGGAGATGGCTGGTCTCGCCGAACTCGGGAGGCGTGTTGGACGACGGCATTGTCGGCAACGGGCGTATGGGTCGGCCGGGCGCGGAGCCTTGGGAGCTGCGTATCTTGTCGTCTTGTCGCTCTGCTGGATTGACTCACAATCGCACAAGTAGGGAGAGGCGAGCTTAATTATGTCGTGCTTGGTGCCTTGTGGTTGTTGACGGTAAAGTGAGCGCCTTCAACGGAGGCTGGGCCGGCTCAATTAGTCAGAGCCATGGATCTATGATTCGACCTCGGCGAAAATGGTCAAATGGAAATGCGCAGAAAATTGTGGGCCGGCGTCGTTGTCGAACAATCTGCTCCGTCTTATGTCATCCATTGGAAATCCCCTTGTCCGGCACTCACTCACTTAATTACAAACATGGAACTGTCACGCACATGACGTCTCGCGCGCGCGGGGGCACAGGACTTTATCGTATGTATCCCTTTGGCTGTGCGCAGGTGCCAGTTATGTACCGACCAAGGATATTAACTAATTAAATAAAAGATACTTAAATCACCTAGGAATTTATATATAAAGTAAAGTATTATATATACGTAAAGCTACCAGGCACACACAAGGCTACCCTTAAAAAAGATGTACTAGCAAGTATCGCAGATAAAGTGGGGTATATAACATCACTGACACCTGCGCACAGCCAAAGGGATTGCGCTACCTGCAATCTGTCTTTGTCCAACCCGTTTGATTGCTGATTCATGCAAGAGCATCGTTATTGTATCATGCGACGAACGACAATTCTGTTTCGGCCAGGCCCTGGCAGTATCCTTGCCACCTCTGAAACGGCCTCATCGGCATTGATTTTCCATCACATCACAGTGTTTCACAGAAATGTAGGGTCGAATCATGATTGATATGCAGGTAATCAATTTTGTTTTTGCCCAAGTCTTTTGATCCTTTCCAATTTTTCCATTGGGGAGTCATGTGTACTACATGGTATGGGATCCTAGAGAAGAAAATATATGTACAATATAAAAGTGGTCCATCATTCTTGTTTCCTTCCTAACGTCTTAAGTAGCCTTCACCTCCTTGCCAGTGCCGTACTGAATGTTGACGACTTCGACGCCAGTAGGTTTGTTTTGCCCACCAAGGGTATGAGGGCACTTTGGCTGGTTGCTGACAGCCAGGTCGAGAGTGCAGAGCTCGTCCCAGCCAGATGTGCCCTGAGTGTCCGCGAGGTTGTAAAACTCGTAGTTCTTGACAGCCCAGCTGTTTTTGTCGCAACCACCGATATATGACATGCCGTTGACGGCAATGAGAGGCAACTTGTCGTTGTGGAGGAGGTCCTTGCAATCGTCGGCAGGGACGTCCTCATACTCCATGGTGATGCCGCCTCCCGTCTGAGGGCTTTCCTTGGCAGACTTGCCAGAGACAAGGTAGTTCCAGGCATCGTACGAGATGTCGTGGGCGCCACCAGACTTGTCAATATGGAGGAGGTTGAGGCTGCGGCCCTGGTAAGACACCTTGACGCAGATGTTGTCGCAGGAGGGATATGTGGGCCAGTAGGCAACACGGTTGGCGTTGATCATGCCCCCAATGACACCGATGGTCGAAGAGTACTGATCATGGGGGGTGACGCTGATGCTCTGGCCACGCTTGGAGATGACACCAGCAGAGACGGCGGCAGCTGAGGCGACGATGACGGTAGCGATTGAAGAGATCATTTTGACAGATTGGTTTTATGTTTCTTGTGTCAAAGAAGGGAATGTGATTTGTGATCTTGTGTATATGTGCAGTTGTAAAGTGTATATGTATGAACCACCACCAGGGTTGGAACTTCAAGGAATGTATAAAAAATTCAAGAAAGGAATGTCTTGAACCTGTCAAAGAATCTGTAGTAGGTAATGTTGGCTTGTGTCAAGTTCGACACTCCGGGGGGGGAATCGATGCCATTCTTATACCTCTGGCGGCGGATAGCCATCCAAGGCAGGACATTGTGCTTGGGCTTGGCCAAAGTGAATTCTTTGCAAACATACATAAAAGAATGACCTTGTATTCTGCCCATCCGAGTAGTGAAAGAACAAGTACCACAGTCATTGCCGGGGCCTGAGCCGATGGGACGGTTATTGAGCCATCCTATGAGGTTGCGACATTGCGAGGACTTTTCCTCAATATACGCGTTGATGCGGAGGAATCCATTCGTAGATGTCAAGTCCATGATCCGCTATTCCACTCCTCCACACACACTCGAGTCTATTGCCACAGTTCTTTCCATGGACAAGGTCCTCCCCGGTCAAGGAAAATGCGTCGTTCCTGAGCCACGCACAGCGCCGTCTGACACCCACATGCGGCATCGAGCTTGTGGAAACGCAATGACTCTGTTGGTGGTGGCGCGCTCATGGAGCGTTTCAATGGGGCACGGCGTTCTTTGTCTGAACCCGCCATGCGCTTAGTTCAGGCACCCTCTGTGTAAGGGGGGGGAAGGGGAGCGGCAAAGACGTCGTCGTGCCTTTTGAGGTGCAGCCAAGACAGTGTCCTGCAACGAGGAGGCGTCGGGTGATTGGCGTGGGCTGCAGGAACAATGCAGCCATTACGCAGTGTGTTCCTGAAGCCGCCCCTACTCTACTGCTTTTGCCGTGAATGGATGTCGCAAGTCCTGGACAGCCTGCTCAGAAACAACATTGAGGATATTAGTTCATGCAACATGGCCAAATACTAGCCAGCTGCGTGATTCATGACATTAGTTTGTTTGTAATATGGTGGTACATACAAGTACATTCTCAAGCATTTCGAACCGAATCGGAGGCGTTGTCGCTTCACACACAGACTTTGAGAAGCTGAAAGAAAAGCGGGCGAGACGGAGTTGGTGAAGAATCATGGAATCGGCATGGCGGAAAACCTTGAGTAAAGTTGGGACGACATGGCTAGTGTCAAACCGCAGACAACCCATCACCCACTTTGACTGCAATGCGTTGCGTTTCTTTTTGTTCGGTCCCTTTCTTTCGGATGGTTTTGTCAGCGCAGCGTGATTGTGGTGAACAATTAATTGGCTTGCCTGTTTCCAAGGCGGAGAACTTCTTTTGATGGCGGCTAGGTTCAGCACCAGTGCACTTTGAGCGGGCACGACTCACAGCAAAAGGATGACTCGTCCCGGGTGTCCAATCGCTTTCAGCATGTGGAGGAGAAGTTTCGTTTGGTATTAGTGAAGAGGATTCTTTGTTTCTCCCGTTTCTTCCTTGGATCTCGTCCATTCCCATGCCGGAAAAGGATATCCCTCAGGAACCGGTGTGTGCCACGCATCGCCAACTTCCAACTTTGGTTGGACTAGCTCACTAAGCCGTAGCCAAGAAAGATGAGGGAGAATGCGCAATTATCTGCCTCTCCACGCCGCCTGCCAATCAGCCTTTTGAAACATTGAAAGTCCATTGTGGTGGACCTCAGGAAGATAGATCCCCGTCCGGGAGGAACAACTTTGCAAGCTTGATGGTTGACAGGCACGGGTTATCCGGAGCTATCTTCCGTGCACTCCGTCGGGAAAAGCCATCGTCAGCCTGCTTGTAGGAGCGAAACAAGCCGATTCAAACAACAGCCAGGGGTCTAAGCGGGAAGTTTCCATGTGCATGGATTCCTCTACCCCATTGACATGGCGTTGACAACGCAGAAACGCAGAGTTTTTGTCCCATCAGTTGCCATGTGACTGGATAGTGCGAAGGGGGGGAAAACGCTAGCAATGTCTGTGTGTCTAGACTCCTTGAGAGTCTCTTGGGCCCTCGGCGAACCCTAGCCGGATCGACGAAGCCGCCGCGAAAAGCACATTCCATCCCCATCCCGAAGACCGAGCAGATCAGTCTGGGGGCGAACGGCGACTCCCATGACCTTGGGTACCATCCTGCGCTTCCTTTGGGGATTTTTAGTACCAGCTGTAGGGTAGCGATTAGATGGGTTGTTGGCACAAGGCGACGTTGCACTTGTGATGGTCAGAAAATTCCAAGTAGCGAAGTCCGATATTGAGGGACTGCTCGGGCTTTTTTGCTTAACAAGTAATGGATTTGCGATGGGATGGACGGATGACAGGTCTGTGGAAGGGGGACAAGATGTTGAAAGCTGGTTGTGCGGGGAAGCGTAAGCGTGGTCGTTTCGTTTCACGATGACAGCTGGTGCACTTGGTGACGGCATATGGACCTTCTCCCGACGAAGCTAGTACTTGAGCACCTCCCTACAAGGTCAACTGGTGCTTTATTATTGCAAAGTCACATTAGTACCAGAACTGAGAACTGATGGCAGTAATTTTTTGAATGATGGTCTTGGGATCGGCCCGCCGGGTCTGTTGTCACCAGAGGCAAATTCTAGAGTCCAGCGTAGCTCCGAAATCTTTAAAAAACCATCTACCTGTCGCGGCGTAGCGCTGCATAGCAAGCAAAGAACCTTGAGCGTTGTATTTATTTCTCTTTCTCTTGAAGGGTTTAAATAAAAACTGTCAAAGATTGATACAACAATTACGTGCAGTGCTGCTGCATGAAATTCGCGCTCATGCCTGATGTCTTGGCGGAGTCCTTGACCAGCGGGTTGCTTGCTCCAAGGTGGTGCCCCACCTTCGCGGTGAGGACGGGCTGATTGCGATAATCGATAAGCAGCTTGCTCCAAAAAAAATTTCTGGTACACCCAGAAATACTGGCCACCAAGCCATTCAAGCTCACTCCAGCAGCTTGAACAACGCTGCGCTTCAGTCAAAATGTCCACAGCAGCATCGCCCGGGCCGGCGACCCCAAAGAACGAGAAGAAAATCAAGAAGGAAAAGAAGCGCGCTCGCGAGGAAGAGGTCGCCGTCGTTGAGGGCGAGAGAAAGCACAAGAGATCAAAGAGCATCACTGCAGATGCCATTGCACAAAGCGACGACATTCATGGCCAGGATGTGAACAAGGACAAAAAGAAGAAGAAGGAAAAGAAGAATAAGCACCGACATGATGTCGGTGAAGAGGCAGAGGAGGCGCACAAACACAAGGCTGAAAAGAAAAAGAAGAAGCACCACAAGGAAGAGACCGAAACACTCACGCATGTCGAGGTAAAGGCAGAACTGGGCGATGACGAACTAAAACCCGAAAAGAAAGATAAGAAAAAGAAGAAGAAACACGCCGAGGTCGCTGATGAGGCTGTGGAGACTGTCATTTCAAAGAAGCCAAAGCCAAGTACGCAACTCACCGAACTTGAGGACACGGATGCCATGGACATCGACAAGCCGTCAGCTTCGGTATATCAGCCACCGGATATTCCAGCCGACCCGCAGTTTCCCTTCTTTGAACAAACTGTCTCGCTGTACGAGCCCTTATACCCTAATGGATGGGCTCAACCCATAACCAGCTGCCAATACCAGCACCTGCAACACCTCCAGAACAAATACGTTCCCTCACTCCGGGGTGTCTTACTCAACTACAAAAACGTCGCATTGGGACCCAGCCCCGGCCGTGACGGTGCTGCTACTGATGACGAGACGCCAACGACTGTGGTGTCGCAGAACGAATACGCCGTTGGTTTTGGTTGGATCACGGCCGATGTTGAGCTCTTCGTTCCCAGCAGGGGCGCCTGGATGGAGGGCAGTGTCAACCTGCAGACTGAAGGACACATTGGCGTCGTTTGTTACGGCAAGTTCAACGCATCTGTCGAAGCCAGACGCCTGCCGCCGGCCTGGAAATGGGTATCCAACGAATCCCCCGAGGCGCACGGATTTGAGGAGACGGCCTCTGTCATCACGGCAGACGACCACGGCGTGGTCCGCCAGATCCACAGCACTGGATTCTGGGTCGACGGCAATGGAGACAGGGTCAAAGGCAGGGTTCGATTCAGAATACGCAACTTTGACGCCGGAACGAGCGGGGAGACGAGCTATCTGAGTCTGGAGGGCACCATGCTGGACAAGGACAGTGAAAAGAAGCTGGTCAAGGAAGAGGCGCGCACCGCGCAAATGAGACGGTACAAGAAGGGCGGTCGCGGAATCGAACGGCGACGAGCACCCGACTTTAGCATGACGCGGTTTGTTGATGTGGAGGTTGACAAGGACGGTCAACAAGCAGAAGCAGAGACTGGTGGTGAAACTATGAAGGAGTCATAGCCGAGCAGGCTTTTCAAACAAACAAAAACATGAAAACAAACATCAACAATGGCGGACCTGCGTTTTGCACATATTGTGGCTACCTCTTTTCTTTCTTTCCCGTCTATTGTTGTGGCAATAGTGAGTGCAGGCTAGGAAATGGAGTTTTGTGACATTTGAGAAGCGTTTTGTAATTTCATTCATCCCGTTGATCCAATATATTCACTTATAAAGAGAATTTAACCGAGCACCATGTTCTAATGAGCCAAATACACCAACTCCTTGCTAAACCGACAATCTGAATGCGTCCGAGACTCGCTCATATCAAAACAAAGGAAAATGAAAACAAAGGGTGTTGAAGATACACTGGTAGCAAACCACAAAGGCTCATGCAGATGCTTTGACCATTGGTTCCCACGGCCTCGACAAGTCCCAGAGGTACACGTCGCCCGCGTGCTCGCCGCCGAGGCCCTTGACAAAGATGTGCCGGATGAGCGGCTGGACGTAGAGCGACGGGACAGCCTCGCGGCTCGGCGGTTGGCAAAACGCATCCACGTCTGCCCTGTACGCGTCCCAGTCGGCCGAGCGGTCATTGACGACGAGCTGGAAGCGCACGCCCTGGACGTCAATGACGACGCG